CTCATGTGCAATGTACATATTAGTGACCTCATGTGCAATGTACATATTAGTGACCTCATGTGCAATGTACATATTAGTGACCTCATGTGCAATGTGCATACCAGATACGAAAATAACATTTGGTAACTGTTCTAGATCGCTTTGTCATTATATCACATCGATGTGTCTTTCTTGTGCACACACTACTCATGCTGTTGCCTTAAATAAGGGTGCTAATCCCAGCACCACTGCTTGATGGAAAAGAGGCCTTAGATTATTATGTGGTAAACAGTGTGTGCACGGATTCATGGATTCACGCAGTCCCTGGCCTTTATATTATGTTGAAATACACAAATTATTCGTTGCTTACAGATTTYGCAGTTCTGTCCCGAATAATCTCCAGCACAATGACAGAAGTATTTGGTTCTGCTATCTTGCAAAATACACACCCCTCCATTCAAGCAAGGTTCGTCCTCGCAAAGATTCTGAATGTAGATAAAAGTAGCAACAGAAAATCTTAAAAATCTCATATAAAATATATTTAAATAATATTTGTACTGTGATATAAACACGCGGGTAGCTGTAGAGCACGAGAAGCAACCTTAGGAACGCAACGAGTAGCCAACAGATCTCAGGGTGTCCTCTGATATAAACAGTGTGTTTTGTTCAAATTTATTTATTCATACACAAATAATCAAAAGAATAAATTATTTACAGAATTGTAAGATAAAGATATAAAGTATATGAAGTTACAGAGAATATTATATTTAGTAGGAAAATAACATGAGGTATGTAATCTCTACTTTCACATCGCCATAATGCCTTGCGTTTTTGGGGGGTAACCAATCAAAAAGCTGTCCCAAATTGAAAGGTTTCTTAATTGAATTTATACTATACCTGCTTTTATCTGTACGATACTGATTATCAGTTTACTCCAAGTTATTTTTGCGTGTACAGATCATGAAGAGTTTTGGTCTTACAGAAAATGTATTGACTTACGAAAAAAATTTTAAAATTTACCTTAAACGTYTTCAAGCTTCTATCTTTTTCTGCTTTTTAATTCTTCATTTTATCTTTGGATACCAAACAAGGTATTTTCAACATTGTCTGATCAGCCTTCAGCAAAATAAGTGGGTTTTTACCCTCTGGTTACCCCACAAAGACGCAAAGCATTATGGGGATGTGAAAGTCGAGAATGGCTGTTGAAGAAGTTTAAACTATCGAGTCAACAGCCACAAGCCGWCCCCCAAGTGTTTTAAAACTCCACACAGCACAGCATACAAGTTTTTTTTTACTTTTATAGAATACAAATTACAATGAACGGAATTTTGGATAGGAAAGACCCAACTGAAAGTGCGCGGCGTGCCGTGTGCTTTYGTAGAGTAGGCTCTCACAACCAATCAGAACTCGAGACTTATATATCTATATATATCTATATACAGTTTTATGTCAARAGAGCATAAATATTATTTTTGCTCTCTTGTTTAAATCTATTCATAATTTTAATATCAAACCAATCGYCATGGTAGCAGTCTTCTCAGTAGAACATCAAATATTGATCCACAAACAACTAAAACATCCGAGTTTTACAGGGAAAATACACTAGGGCTTTTCATTTTTCAAAAGTAACAGCAAAAAAGAAACAAAAAATACCATCACCCATAATCATTGCTTAATTCTGGAGGTATGGAACATAGCAACGGTAACTACTAAGAGTCGAAAACATGAATTGTTCCACAAACAACTAAAACATCCGAGTTTTACAGGGAAAATACACTAGGGCTTTTCATTTTTCAAAAGTAACAGCAAAAAAGAAACAAAAATACAATACAAAAATACAATCACCCGTAATCATTGCTTAGTTCTGGAGGTATGGAACATAGCAACGGTAACTACTAAAGAGTCGAAAACACGCGAGAACACAACCCTAGGCTCCAAGAAAAGTTTTTTTAAAGGGGGAAAAGAAGAAGTTAAAATAAAATATAATAGACGTTCAGAGCATTTAGTAGGAGAAATCGTACCTTAATGTTCAGATGTATAAACTGATCGTCTGCTTGTAAATCTATCTTGCTGGTGTAACTGTCTGAAGACAAGATCTCACATATGTGAACCCGCTCAGCCTTCGAATCAGAAGTAGTGTTGAAATTCACTGATAAACACCATGTCTCTTGTACACAAGCAAAAGCACAATGCATCTCATCGCGAACTTTTCTCGTCTTTCGTGGCATCTGTTGCGGCAAGTTTAATTTCCGCCCGACGTATTTTCGAAAAGCCAGATTTCTGTACTCATCATCTTGTTGGATAGTATAGTATATACAGATACAATACAATAAAACGAGAAACCAAGGTACTGAACCATAGGCCATCTGGTTTCGGGAGAACAGTTTGACTGTTAATCTAATAAAATCTTGGGATATTTTCAATAATTCGTCGCGCGCACTGAATCAATATAAATTAGTACCAAACTTGCGCAAATACTGAGCTGCATTTGCTTTAACTAAACAGTGTCGCTTGTTCAAATATTCYAATGTATTATACAGAACCAATAGAAGCATTGTGTGGGTGATAAGTGGGTATCTGCACCATCATTACTTGACGTATCTATACTGAACTGCTTATAACACTGAAACATCACGCAATCTAAAAGTACGAGGAATTTGGAGAAGTTTAAAAGTTAGAAAAGCAAGTTAAAAACATATTTAGTAATGAATGTAGTAGTTTTTGCAGATACAAATCTAAATTGTAAATTATCGTTCTTTTTCTTTCACTAAAATTAAAATGTTAAATAACACCGCTTTTCCCTTTAAGGCTGTTTCGCTCGCTCTAAAACTATGTTACATACATACGTACCTTTATGACTTCCAGAATTTAAACGTTACAATCTAGCAACAAAGCAAATATCATAACAAGATCTCCATTACGGAGAGCACTGTTCATATCTAGAAAAAACAGGGGGGGATGGCTTAGGGGCAACATGTTAAACCAGTGAATACACGCAACAAGCTTTAAATATAGATATTAGCGAAAGTGTTCGCCTAGAGCCATTTTAATGTCGTATCATAATTGGTATTTAATTATGCGTATTTTTACCCTAATCGATCAATAGCCTAAAGGCCACAGCTTTAATTTACACATTTTGCCTTGTTCTYGAATTAACCTGTTCTCCTTCACAGCCGCTATTAGTGACGTGCCGCAACGCTCACTCCCCAACTTTAGAGAGTAACCGAGTGACGAGACTAATGGCAGCTGCGTCTACGAGACTAGTCAAAGCCATGTTTATTCCCGTAATAATAAAGAAACATTATTCATTTACTTTGTCTAACCGCATGTTAGCTCATCCTGAAGTGCTTGAAGGCGAGGAGGATACGCGACGGAAAACTATCGTTACAGTCAACACAGTCTATTCTTGGTTTGCAATCAATCCAAAGAGAGCACAATAACAAAAGGGATGTCCGCCATGTTGGAAGATATAACAAAAGAATTCATTGACATGGCGGCTATGACGTCTATTGCAAACGAAGAATTGCTTAACGCCGAAAAAATATTTTTCTGAACAAAATATATGCTTGCTACTCGAAAAAATATTAACCCATGCTGCGCCCTAAAATGTCTAATGAGATACTTTATTTTTTTGCGGTTCGGAATCCTAAACAATCGTATTTTCAAGACCTCGGGCACAGTTTTTCCCTATCCGGACCTCCTGGCCGGTAAATAACATGTATGTATTTATCTATTTTTAAAAAACTTATGTTTACCAAATCTAGCTCATTTTAACGGCTCACATGTGGTGATGTTCAAAATGGTGTTTTAGTTTTTCGCTCCACGTTCCCAATCAGCTCTTTTTGTTAGTGTTTTTAGTTGTTGGAATGGATTTTCTGATAAGAAAAAAATATAATTATTCGTTTACATAGTTCGTTTACATAGTTCCGTCTCTCTAATTAAGCCTAAAAATTATTATCTACGAAGTTGTTAAGGGAAAAACGCTTTGAATTAGTATGAATTGCTTAAATATTTCTTTTTGCTCACTTCATTTTTTTATCACTATTGTTATATAATCATTAATAGGGTATCAAAAATGAATTTTATTGTGAACATTGTTTTGTTATTTTGTACTTTTTTTCCCGTTTTCTCGCCGGCTTTGTTTACTCAATGTGTGAAAGTTGTAATTGGAACCCCTAGATAAGCGCTTTCGCTCTTGGAGTTTACGTATTGAATAAATATATTTGAATAAAAATTGTTTAATAGTATAGACTAGTGTCGAAATACCCATCAATGTTTACACTCCTTAAAACTGCAACTGTATTAAGATTCTATTTATTAAGAGGAGAATAAAATACACGACAACATTTGTACAATAAACCCAAAGAGACAAGGAGAGACATGGATTACATGTAATAGGAAAAGAATCGGTTTAAATCTTTCCAGTCATTTCTGGGACAGCCTGAAAAGTAAGAATAAAATGGGAATGAAAAAGATGGGAAAGAGAAATAGAATGAAAGAAGGAAAAGAGTCATCTATCCCGTGTAGGGATTTGAGGATATGGTTAACAGACTGGCAAAAAAAGAAATACTCTTTCTTAGACAAAGTGACACTCATTTCACTCAATCCCTTTGTAATACTAACCAGGCTATCATTCATCAAGTGTTCTACATTAATGTTGTGAATGATTCACATACACAAGGAAAAAAACCCGGATTCCCAAACTGGGAATTGTTGGGAATTTCCTTGAATTCCCAATTTGAACACCAACTTTGAGATTTATTGTTGGGAATTTCCTTCTAATACCCAATAGAAAAACAAAATTCCCAACAAACTAACATTGGGAATCAGTGCCACGTTCCCAATTTCGTTCTCTCTGGGAATTGGATGGGAATTCGTTGGGAATTCAGGGAAATTTCCAACAAATTCCCAATTTGGGGATCCGGGTTTTTTTTCCTGTGATAGGTAAATTTACTTGCGGGTGTTGGAACGTCAATTTGAGTTCAGTGATGAAAACTTGTTTCAGACCCTTATTGAAATAAGCAGATGTGTTGCTATGGTAACAGACATACCTTGAACAAATCTTCAACAAGTCCATAGTCAGCAACTAAAAAGGAGATCAGTAGTGACATGATTACGAGAATAGCCAAGACTCTTTTCACTAGATTCTTGCATGAATTCATTCATTTAGTTATAGATTCATTGGATGAATTACGAAAAGCAATATATAAGTGAAAGCATCCAATACCTCATCTGACTATTCCCTCAAGATTTTCTGAGTATAAAAGTAAGACATGTCTTTCTCTATGACCCCCTATGGTAAATGGTGCAGAGCTGGAAAAACTAGTTTGTTTTTTTTTTTGTTAAATAAAGAAGCACTACATGTACATCAGAAACACAAGTAATTAAAAGCACTTCTATGCTTTAGCTGTTTCCAGCAAATTTCAATGAGGGTCTCTAAAGACGAATCTTAGAAACAATATATTGATGAAAATAACAACAACTTTAAGTTTGGATTTAAACATAATGCTTTGACTGCCAAAACACGTTTAAACAAAACTTAAAGTTGGCTTTTTTTTAATCAAGGATTTCAATTTATTTAGAAGAACAAAACAGTATATTTCTATGTACCCTTTGGTTCTAGGGAGGGTTTAAATCTATTCTGTTGTTCAGGACTCAGATTTAGCTGCACATGGAACTATTGTCAGTATAAAACATGCCCATAACAAGCATGATTTGCTGCATGTATTTACCTTGGAAAATAGGAGCTTCTGGATCTTTGTTGATGGCCACAATTACCTGGAAGAAAACATTAGAAAACCACAATCAGGCTTGAAGGCTTATTCTGGTTACATATCATTAAGGAAAGACAATTGCCAGAAGAGTTTGAGGAAGGGGTGGATGGGAAGGGTGACGGGGNGGGGGGGTAATAAAATCTCAGGGAATACTTTCAAAAATTGAATGAAAGTGGATGAATAGGAAAATATATTTAAACAAAAAAATAAGTATGGTTGGGTGGGTGGAGATAACTTCTGTGGCTGTAACGTCCCCACTGACCTCCTCTACTGTAGATTAGTCACTGCACACATAATATGTTTTACCTTGCTATCCTTCATTCCAGCCAAATGTTGAATGGCACCAGATATACCAACAGCAACATATAGCTCCTGTATCATATTACAACATCAATTATTACTCTATGGGTAAAACAATAAAATAATACAGTACATACAGTAAAAGTTCTGTAACTTCCTCTTAGTTCTGCCTCATACTGTAGCAATTTCCAGGTTTCCCAATACTTTACTTCCACATTATTTTTAAATTGTTTGACCTGATTTACAAGTTCTATGACATTGTAAGGTAATCCCAGGGACCGTGGAGCATAGATTGGAAGTTTGCCTACTCAGGGACTGAGCACTACCACTACAGACAACATTTTTTGTTTTTATTGTGTTTTTCAACATTACTCAGTCAAACAAAAGATGTAATGTGTGATATATTTACTTACAGGGGCCACCATTTTTCCAGTCTGTCCAACTTGCATGTCATTAGGAACAAATCCAGCATCTACTGCTGCACGGGATGCACCAACTAAAACAGACAATACACATTAAATGCAAACACACATGTACTGTGGTTCAATGAAGCAACATGCCTGCATGGCTAGAAAATAGAAACTGCACAACAGCCAGACATGATGACCAAAAACATTGGACTGGTCAAGAGGATTAATTCAGGAAAGGTCTGTATGTTGCATACCAGCAGCATTGAATTTCTCAGCAAGGTCATACAGGATTTTAAAGTTATCTCCACTCTTCAATCCTCTACCTAAAAACAACAAAATGAGAATTACAGGTAATTTAATAACTTATCTATATTCTATATCTTCATGTATTTCATAAGTGCCACGCCGTCCACATATTTTCATCTTTGCATCATAATTACCGCGACCTAACATCTATTTCACCCCGGCCTGCTCTCAGTCTGACCTCTAGCTCAGCTGGTAGAGCATCGGTAGTACAATTCCAAAGGTCGTGTGTTCGATTCCCAGCGAGGTCGGAAATTAATTTTTCCGAATTTAATTCCAAGGGCTTTTGCCCGGAATAACCTCGTTCCCAAGCACTATAACTTATCTATATTCTATATCTTCAGGCAATTTAATAAGATGACTTGATACCAAACCAAAAAGCAAAATAACTGATATCTCAACTTCATATAAGGTTTTATAAATGTACCTAAACTATCACAATCCTTTTCAAAAACTCTTTTCATATTCAAATGTTAAAACTCCTTTGAGAATACCAAGACAAGTGAAAATAGGACATGAAATTTTGCTTGAGGCCTATTGACATGTGAAGATTATACACCCAAAAATGAACTTAGAATATACATTACCAGACAATATTAATGGGAGATTGGATCCCATTTCAGTAGGAGGGGGAAATTAAGTAGGAAAATTTTAAATTATCCTCCCATTGCAAGGGTAACACAATAACTTATAGTAAATACAGTGCAACTATTTATTAAACAGAGTTTTTTTGTGCCATCGAATCTGAACATGTATATCAATACTAATACTTATGCTTACCACCAGATATGACAACTTTAGCACTGGTCAGTTCTGGTCTGTCGCTGACAGTCAGATCTTGTGACTCCCATGCCGACAGATCATTACTTGTATCTGCTTCTGGGGCTATGTTATATAATCTTCCGTCAGTACAAAATTACGTCATTGATAATAATATAAGTGTACCCTTAATATATACATCTATTTCAAAACAGGTTGAAGAAGGTTTTGTTGCATGTTGCATGCTGCTTGGCAAGCTTGAAATGTATTATCCTATTCATACAGACGTGGGTTCAATTCCCGCCAAGGGCATTTGATATTTTTCTCTTATTCTCTCTATTCTATTCATATGTATAGATCATCAGTACAGAAGAAATTATGCCAGTAAAACAAGCCGACAAAGTTTGGGAAAATGCCACATTGTTGTGACCTGTCAGTGATTATATTCACGTCACCCATAGTGTATTTTGGGGTTGATATGCAAAACAACAAAACCTTCACCCTTTTTTAAAATAGCTGTATACTGGTTTCTTTGGTTATCCTCCCTCCGCTAAAAAATCAAGTTCTTCAAGTTCTGTAAACTCCAATTGGAATTCAGTGAAAGAAGGGCCAGTAAATAATTCCCCATTATTGTCCCACTAAAACCAAGGTTGTATGGAGAATTTTTAAAATTACTTTATTATGAGTCCATTATTATAACTACTTACCATTTTCACTAGCCACAGCACCACCATCAGCCTGTGCTGGTTCAAATGCTGTACCTCTGACAGTAAACACCTTTATGGTGTCATTAGATTTCACAGTGGTGACTGCATTACCTAAACAACACAAAGAAAACATTTAATTTAATGATTTTTTGTTCTTTCTTGCAAAACAAGAGACTATTATCACTAATAGCCTTACATATTGTGTAAATCTCCTTAAAATAATAAAGAGCCAGACGTACAGCACGTAAGAAGACCAACTTCCAGGCTATGACATACTAAGCCTGACGAAGATTAGCAGTCGCAGTAGAAATGTCTCTGTCCACTTAACTACCACAATTGTGCTTCAAAATATATGTATACTCTGTGATTTATATCCACAATGGATAATCTTTTTTCATTTTATTAACAATTACATACCAGCATATATAGTTCTGACGAAGGTGTCTTCTGACTTGATCTCTGTAACATCTGATAAAGGTGCAACATCAAGAAGGGCTGCAACCCTTGGAAGAAGACTCTAATAAAATCAAAAGAACAAAAAATTGGTTCAGACTTTTAGCTGCAATAAATTAAGAAAAGCATGGATAAAATTGGTAGTGGTTATGAGAGGTTTCCTCCAGATAGTATATTCTTGAAATGTGGTAAATACAATGTACATATCATGATAATGTACATATGTGACTTCCTTTACAAATTTTTTGTGAGTGGACAGCTATATATTTCAGTATAATGCAGGTGCTGTGCACCACATGGTTGGGGGTAGGATGTTGGGTCACACATACTCTTGATGTCATTGGAATGAATGTACACAAAGAAAAAGTGGAGCTAATTTATACATTGCAAGGAGTTTCATGTTTTATTTCTACAGTTGTACAGATAATAGTCATAGCTTCATTCCTTTGATTATATACATACATATATATACCGTAAATCCTCTATTTAGTCCCCCCTCTCAAATAAGCCTCCCCTCTAAAAAGCCCTCCCTTTTTAAAGGAAGAAATTTGTTAAGCCCCCCCCCCTCCCCCTCTTTTTCTAGCCCCCTCTCCCCTCCCCCTTCACAGCTAAATTATCACGTGTACTGATTAAAGGTGATTTATGGTATTTAAGTCTTGATACAGTAGTTCACTAACATAATCACAACAGTTTGTTCCTCATTTTCGGTTGCATGACCTCCAACTTCATATGCTTAAGTTTTTCTACTCTGCGATCAAGTTCTTTGTGAAGAATTATTAAAGTCTTCTTGTTAGTTGAAATTGCAGTGTAGCGGCGTTTCAACTATAACAATAAGCCCCCCTCTCAATTAAGCCCTCGGGGGGCTAAATAGAGGATTAACAGTAGAATGGGAGCTATATGAATCATTATCATGTACCTTTCCAAAAGCTGTTGCCCCAGCAGCGATGTGAGAATAGCTGAACTGTTTCTGTGAGGCGACTATCAAAGGAGTCAGGACCTCTGTGGGAGTAATATACATGTAATAAAGCAATCATAAAGGAATAAATGAAAAATAATATAACTCATAACCATATTAGAGTGCTATATGGTATCTGGCACTACCCAGTACGCCTGTCTTGAGTTTTTGAAAATTATTTTTGTACTTTAACCTCTAACCTGGTAAAAAGCCCTTATATGCATCATTCTGAGCCACAAGAATCTTATTTATCCCTTGAACTTTGCTCAGTTCTTCTACAATCTGAAACACAAAGAAAATATGATATGTTCATATGGAATACAGGATCATGTCTCGCAATAACAGCAGGTCACAGGTCAAATTGGATACTTGAGCCATTAAATACTGTATGTTCTTGAAAGGTCATATGACAAAAAATGATTGAATGCTTTCCTCTTGGATTGTGTGAAGTGCAAAGCCTTCCAGTATTGGAGAACAGAATGGCTATGTTACATTTGAAGCATGGTCGGCAGAGTAGTGAGAGCATTCAACTCTCACCAAAGTGACCTTGGTTCGATTACCAGTCTCAGTGTCATGTGAGTGAAATGTTTCTTGGTTAATTCTGTTCTTCAAGGATTTTCTCAAGTTCTTTGGTTTTCCTTCCTCCAGTAAATCATCTTCAAGTTCAGTGGATGAAGAGCCACTCTAAGTAAATACCACTGTTTTTATCTATTTTATTATCATTTAGTTACAAACCTAGCCAACCGTGGGCATCTATAAAGTTACTTACAGGTCCACAATTTGAGCCAACAACCAAAGCAGAGACTTCCCCTCCAAGTTTATTTGCTGCTGTTATAGCATTTAAAGTTATTGGAGCCAGATGTTGGTCATTATGTTCTGTTACAACCAAGGTAGATGCATCTCTTGCTTGGTAAAGCTGACGCAGTAAGGGCCCCTAAAACACGTTAACATTATATGTTTAATATTAACATTACGTTGGGAAAACAGAAAAAATGTAGAAAAGGTAATAAGGTCTACTAATAAATTAATATAAATTGAAGAAAAAAGGTTTCTTTGGAGGCCTTTCCTTCTCCAAAGAGACAAATACGAGATAATTTACTGGAAAAGTTATGCAATCAATAAATACGCGTTGACATTATAGCACTGAAAATATAGAAAACTATGCAAATAAAAAAAACTTTGATCAAGTATTCTACTTACAGCAGGCCTTGATAGAGGTCTTACGAGAGAAGAAAGTCTCTGCATTTATATAAAACTATTTATTTTTTAGTAAAATTTCTTTTTCGTCACTCGTCGTCTTTTTGCTTTACTCCTGCCTATGAGCCCGTGATCTGGTCAGCTGAATAACGTGCGCATGAGTACAACTGGTCTCGACCTAGTCGCTCTCTTTAAAAAGGTACACAGGAAGACCAAATAATTCGTCTACAATTTTCCCGCCCTTTTTGCGCGCGCGCGTCGAGTAAAATAAAAACAAAAATCAACTTTCCCCAATTTCTTTTTCAAAATCTTTTTTCTGAATTTACTTCGGTTTTATTTTTCCTCTTTTCTCATTCATATCAGGATAATATGTACAATATATTGAAGGATCGTCCTTTGTCAAAAGAGGAATTCCAGCTTTTTCCTCTCCACGATACCAGTCATGTTTGCGTTTCAACACGAGAAGAAGATAACGAGAAAGATGGCTGTAGTAGCAGTTATGATGCTGGTTTAGCTGTCGTTCCCTTTGCTAGGTAAGTATGCTTCAGCCAATCATTTTGTAAATAGTTTACAATAAAAATATAATATTGATGGTCTGGATTTTTTATCGTACTGTATTTACAGAAGCTCAAAAACAGTAAAAAGAAGCAGTGAACGCCTTCATCAACAAGAATACAGTAATAAAAATACGACAAACATCCTGTTCTCGAGTTCAACTTCTCCCGTTCTAAAAAGATTTCCCTGGGAAACAACTGGTCATGCAAGTCGTGAACAGTAAGTAAGAAATAAAGAAAAAAWTTTTTTTTTAAATTGTATTACAATTTAAACGCTGATTTCCGAGATTTTTGAATAATGTCACTTCTAAATGTCCTAGATCAAAAGATGGTATACGGGTAGAGCAGTTGGCTACGAAACCTTTCCCCTTTGGAGTAGTAAGTATAAACGGAGCTATTAGAAAGAAGACGAAATAAAAAATGTATGGAGCGTTCTGGAGATCATGCTTGACTTTTACTCTACTATTTTTATAAATGATAATAGTAATGGCAAATAAGACGCCATGTGTGTTCCAACAGCCAGCTCCCCCCCCCCCCCCCCCCTTTCCCCCTTCGCCACCACGCCCTTACCTCTTTCGCTGTGGCACTATTTCTTCCTTTCATCTTGGCTACCAAATCAGTAAGTAAATAATTTCCTTAGTTTGGAGGTAGAGCCGTGGCAAGGCGTGGACCTCATGGGGACGACGAAGCCTTAAGATGTGCACATATCACAAAGGACGTCCTCCCACACCCCTCGAAAATAATGAGAAGGAAAAAATATTCAAAAACACGACAAAACAGATGTGGTATGGATGTTGAGGCCCATGTCGCTCAGCTACGTAGGAAGCATGCTGAATTCAATTGGTACGGTTTCTCATATGTCATGCATGTCTATGTCAGGATGATCAGGGAAGATTTGAAACGATTTTTGGCGCTGCGCGTTAAGAGTTTTTGAAGCTGAATCAAAAACTTGCAACGTATTGCTGATCTGAAAATAGTTGAATGTGGCATGTTTCGTCAAAAATCGCTCCGTGTAACATCGCCATTGGTAAAGTGATGAATTGATTACAAAGCCGAGAGTATAAGAATATTGAGAATACCGAAAGGATGGATGACTTGCTTTTATCCCACGCAAGGGAAGAAAAAACAAGCAACCGTCTACTCACATACCACGGCCAACCCCTGTGGCCTTGGTTAGAGGCGAAGCGCTATTTGTTAAAAACTCATGTATGGTGCTGCGTACCATGATCGTGCGTGCTAAGCCCTAACATTGGGCTGAATCGCTTTTCCAGGATAGTGTGAAATAAATGTAGCTGGTCTTCACTTACATGATTTTACACATCTTTTCTCCAAGGTTACCAAAAGCAGTTAGTACAGACGACAGCTACCTGAATGATCCAGAACAAGAAGAAATTGTCCAGCCTGAACGAACTTTGCAGAAAGTACCCAACTCATCCTCGCCATTATCAAGCAATCAGCTGTGGACTAGTGTGACGCCTAGATTCTACAGTGATTCCCCACACAAAACTTGGTCACAGAAATATTACAACAGGCTAATGTATGCTTCTGAGGATGGGCTATCAATTCAGGTAAATGTGAGTACTTGTAACATGAATAAATGCAATGATTATATATATATATACGATTGTATTTTAGGATCAAACAATACAAAATACCCGAGGCCTGTTCGAACCAGAGAGGGAAGATGATAACGATGTCGATGAAGACTTCCATTTAATATCCTTTTACTATCATTAAATGAATAGCAAAAAGACATGCTGGGCCCTCGTCATACACAATTGTTCCTCCTCTCTTTGCTTGACTTTGGTGTGCGTGTTCAGTTTACTTCAGTGGAATTATTAATTAGCAGCATTTGTTTGCATTGCACCTCATGACCTATCCTCCCTCCCATCTATTCTCTAATAATCCAAATGTCAATGGCCATCCCTTGTGGCTCAATGAGCCTTCCCTGTTCATACAGACGCTTGTTGGTCGATATGGGAATGTAGACAAACTATCAGCTTTTACCATAACGTTAAACCCTTAACTTATGATTACAACGTAGGTTATGCAACTAGTGACTCGACAAGTCAATTTAGTGCAGACGAAAATGAAGGTCAATTCAACCACATTAGCTGCTTAAACCATTGAGCTTGAGTTAATGTCTACCGATAAAATATAAAGATAAAAATAATAAAGATAAACTGATTGATAACAAAAATATTACATCACTAAATTCAAGGTATTTTATTTGTTGTAGAATTCATTTGATTGGACTAGTTGTAATCAGACCATTTATAGTGATTCCATTTGACCCGTGAACCAAACTGAACCATTCAAATGAGAACAATTGCCCTATAACACTATGACGTCACATCAAAACAATCTATTGTTTTAACACTAAGGATCATGGTTGCCAGAGGGGGCAAAATTAAATCACGAATTAAATCACAATAAAAAATGGTTAATTAGACGGGGAAAGGTGAGAACTGATAAATGTCGTACTAAATATCCCGAACGAAAGAAAATTTCGCCTAAATTCCTATTATTCTTGCCCATGTAAACAAGCTTTGACGTCATAATGTTATAGGTCATACAATCTTATTTCAAATAATGTGATTGCCATGTTGGTATCACATTATTAGGAATTAATAACAGTGTTCTTTAGCATCATTTCTCGTAATTTCATTGGTTATAATTGCATTCAATATTCTATACAGGTCTAGATTTCAGTAGCAGCGGCCATTTTCAAAATTAGTGTAACAATCGTCATATACTTTCAAAGATGGTTGACTGTAAAAGATTGCGACAGTCATTCAAGGTAATAATCTAGTTTGCAGCAACTTTGGCAGCAGTTACAGCTATGTAATAAAATATTCACATCGATAGTTTAAAAAAAWTACTTTTACATGTATATATGTTCAGTCTAATTGGGTGAATATAAGTGGGGTGGTGGAGGTAGCCTGCGTCACATCCGGAATTTACGAAGAAAATTCCGGATGTGACACAGGCTAGGTGGAGGGGGCGGAGGATATGTTTTCGATCATAAGTCAATGAGAACGCAATGTGGGCACAATAAAACTACCGACTTATGTTCAAGCTATCTACATATATACTAATATAATATGTATTATCTAGTCTAGGCATGTTTAATTCTCTCTTATAGAAGAGATATAAAACATTTTTTTCAACAACAAAAAAAGAACCCAAAAGTAAGTATGATCATAACTTTCAATTGGTAAAATAAAGAACTCGTCTATATAAAAATCACACTTAATCGATCGTTATAAAAGATATTTTCGTTAATGATTAACTGAAAAGTAATCGGTGCAAAGCAACTAATCGCGGCCTATGTGATTCTCTCGAGACAATAATAATATTCCTTTGATTCTATGTATACTACAATCTCGTACCCAGAGCCTGCGTTTCTTCTGGCCTGCGGCGAAGAACAAGGGCTCTGGCATAATCCATTTTTTGAGACCAGGATTTCTTGGACTTCCGGTATGTTCCCGATTTTTAATTCTTATTTTGAACGGAAGTTAACACAGAACTCTGTTTGAAAGCAGGTTTAAAAGCGTGATTTTCATTGATTATATTTCGCTTCCGGAAAACTGCGCATGCGCCAAAAATGGATTATGCCAGAACCCTCGTTCTTCGCCGCAGGCCGAAAAAAGCGCAGACTCTGGGTACGAGATTGTGTATACTATGGCTACTAAACAAAACATGCACATGAGCATGCGCATGCGCAATATAATCCAGCGTTAAAGAAACATTTTCTTTTCCAGAAGGCAATGAATACAAGACTCTTATTTTATYCAATCAAAGTCTTGGTAAAGGCCAAGAGCTTCTAAGAAGCGAGGATGGAAAATGAAGTTTACATTTTTCCAACCGTATAGATTCAAAGAAAATATATTTCTACTCTCATTGGTCCATTTGCCCATGGCCATCAGCTGATATTTTCATTCCTCCATTTTGACCAATCAGAAACATTCATTTACCGTGGAATAGAACACTTGTTTCAAAACGAATTATTGATAAATCCATTTGATTAATGATGGCTAATAATATCAGTCTGATTTGCACTCGCTGGTCCTTCACTGAAGTCCAAAGAATTAAATTGCATTACCATCTCACCAGGGATCATCGCTTCTACGCCAGCTGAAGTCTTAATCCACTCCTTCAAATCCTTGAGTATTTTCTATCGCAATCCGTAATTTTTCACGTAGTTCGTAGTAGCTGCGGTATCGAGGAAGATCCAAACGATTGAAACTACAAGGAAAAGAAAACAAGATTTTTTTTATGTTAGTTTGCACAACCAAAACTATGCTTCGTGGTCTCTGACATCTGAAACCATTTCTAAGCAAAAGCAAGGACCGGTCAAAAGGTGCAAGTGCTTCGCGCAACTTTGTTACAAAACTATGAATAGAGGCTTTCAAGGCCGGATCCAGGGGGGCAAAGAAACAGGAAAAAAAACTGAAGAATTATATGCTTTTTATTATTGTTTTCCGTTGTGATGACGGAAGAAACTCAATTAGCCCCCCCCCCTAAAATTTTGGCTGGATCCGCCCTTGGCTTTGCACCATCACGTGATGGCAGCCATGACAGGAGGCAGGATTTACATGAGAAAGAATTCAGTCTCCCAGTGGGAAAAGACTCTATTGTTGTGCCTCCTGAAATGGCTGCCGTCCTGAGGAACGTTAATTTCCCCTTTTGAGTTCGCCTTTGCCCAGTCTTAGCCTCGATTTGAATAGCTGAACTTTTTAACGCACAACCGAGACTAAGGCTGAGCAAAGAAAATCGAAACTGGACTTTAATTCTGACAGTGATACACCGGGATAATTAACTAAATAATTGATTCAATTAGCTAAGATCACGTGGTTGCAAACAACGTTGCAGTTCCCGATAAACCTGGTTACTAGCTGAGGTGTAGAAGTGGAAACATTTTGCACCTACGTGGTTACAATAGTTGGTCCATGTATCTGCGCGTTAACGGAGTACATAAATACTGTGGCATAACATATATTGGGCAGAGCAGACTTCCTCTTTAATAGTGTATCAAAAACACCTACCATGTGTGCGCACGTGGTAAGGAATGTGGTGTTCCCCATGGTTCAATAGTGAACCGTTGTGGACCATTACTGCCGTACAGCTCAGCAAAACCATTCATTGGAACGCGTGACGTACCAGTCACAAACTGCAGCAATCTTGCACGAGTTTCCATGTCAAAAGAGTTGACAGCCTAGACAAGAAATGCCGCGTTAGACCAGAAAAACTTTATTTAATTATTGTTCCGACTTGGGCAATAGCGAACCAATTATTGTTGCGGCATTTTTTTCTAGTAGAATTAAAATCTTATCCAATAAAAAACTACTGACACAATATCTGCTACTACAAGGATAGCAAGAAATTTTCTTCCATTTTCACATAACAGTAAACAATTTAAACAAATAATCATCAATTTACCACCATCAGAAATTCAAATTCTGAGAAATTTTAGCCACAGTTTTGAGGTTTTGGGATGTAGCAACGATAACGAAGGTCCTAAAGATTTGACGAAAACGCACGCGCTCCCTCTTATCGCTTCGTTACAGGTTCAACTTACTTTCCAGAACCACTGAATGACGATGTGTTTATCGTGGTAGTCACCCCTGTAGTTGGAATGTTTTCTCCAGTCCTCGGTATCTATATCTCCTAGACCACACATCAACAACTACAAAAACAAACAACCATAGTTCGTAAGAAAACAGGTTAAATAGTTGTTTTTTCTTGCATTTTCACTTGTGATACTCGCACTAATATAAGCGTTCTTTTCTCTCAAGACCCTTTGCGACACCTCCACTCATTACTGCCAGGGACAATAGAACAGACCTTCCATATAAACAGAACTGAGCGAGCGCATGAGGTGGAATAAATCACCGTTAACGCACGATCATTCGTAGTTGGTGCTCTAAGGCATGTAAGACTCACCTCCAGTTCACGTTCATCATATATCTGGAGTAAATTATGAGGAATGAGTTCGTTGAATCCCTTCAATTAGAGAAAGTGAATACGAGTTATTACAATTAATGCTCTTATGGCCCGTCCATGAGGGCTGCGCACTCATCGAAATAGTGGATGACTCCTATAAGCAAGCACAATTTTACAATAAAAGCACACAAAAATGCCAAGTTTTTTCTTTACAACATAGGTATTCAGCAAAATTGCCTCTTTATATAACAGCTTGTCACGTTCGGATGCGCGTGCAGCCTTAAGGAAAAAGGTCTATTCCCATTCCTACTCACCTCCATTAATTTCCTCATTTGATCTTCAACGCGGCTTACAAATCTCCATTTGATTACTTGACTAAATAAAATAGATCCAAATTACTCACAATGGTAATAGCTAATAATAAGCATCAATAATATAGAAAATGATCATTCCTTGAGCCTGTCAACTTGACGGATGAACCCCACATCATTTACTCCCTAAATACAAGCGCTTTTGCTTTTATATCTTTGTATCTTAGCGTTTTTTATGTTCCCCCCAGATGTGCGGGCTGTTGGCCCCCGTCAATCAACAACTAGGGACCTTAAGCTGCAGGACGGCAACGACGACGACGACGGCAACCATACAATAGCACTAATTGCGCTATTCAATAGATACTCGTTGGAATTTACGAAATACTGTGCATCATTGCCGTCTTATGCTGAAAGTAAGACGTGAAATGTCCTATTTTTACGCACTAAAGAGAACGGCTACGCCAAAAGCTTATCTTTGCTGATTTTCGTTATAAGTAAAGCGCTCCCAAAAGACGTCATTTCACTCTAAAACGGGGATGCTTATTGAGTAAGATCCTAGGTAAACACGAAATAATAATACAATAGAAGGTTGAAGCGCCTCAATTTCGCCGACGTTGTCGACCACGTTGCCGTCCTGCAGCTTAAGGTCCCTACTAACGAAGTCACACCGTTGTGAGTTCGATGGATGGGAGGAAAATATGAGAAAACGTGTCGCGTCTGGAGTAGTTTTCTGGGTCGCTGAAATGGTAACAGTGCTCTAACATACAGACAACAAGATGGTCTTACTTGATGTAGTCCAGCTTGTTTTCATTAGTAACACGAATATCAGCACCTCCAGGTTTAAGCTCCTTCATCTTCAACTAAATATTTAATAAATCATTAAGAAATATACTAATGTATCGTATTTTTGATAAGAAAGATCGATATCACTGTTAGCAAACTTGATGAACAGGGTGAAATGTGGTACCAACTTGGCGACAACTGTCTCGACCCCACCCCACCCATCACAACCATAACCTAACTCCCCTCCACTAGGGAGATTGTGAGCATACAAGAAATGATATAGGGAACATTTCTGAACTATTTACCTGTCCAAATAGATCTTCATCTACACAAAATCGTAGTTCTAAGCATTCAGGATCGTTTTCTAAAATCCAGTTTAGACTGTTAAAGTATTCGGAATCCTATAGAAAAGAACAAAGAAATTACTTAACAGATCACTTAGGACCACACCCTCCCCTCTCTCAGAAAAAGAAAGTCGCTTGCTGTCAACTCATTAACTAAATGAAAGTAGAGAGGAGAAATACCTACCACACTCTCCATGTCGATCAGTGTTATTGCTTTCCCTAACATCATTTTGTAAAATGGTCTAATGAAAAAAGCTGAAAGAAAATAGACAAACAAATATTGTATGAATAATATTAGATTGTGGCCTCTATTGAAATATATCCTTCCTCGTAAAAGAGTGCATTTGAGAGAAAACATATAATGAAGGAAATGGAAAAAAAATACGGACCAGCCCTTCCCCCAAACCCACCGTTACCCATGTATACCTTATTGATGGTTTTCACGTCGGCCATGTTGGAGGACTTCAACAAAAGAATTGTCAATGAATTATTTTGTTATATACTCCAACATAGCCGACGGTCTTTTGTTATTTAATTCTCTTGGGAATGGTTGAAAACCATCAATTCCTATGTCTATCCTCACCCTTCTATGCACACCCTTTAACACACACACACACACTATACTCTGTCATTTTCTTACCATCCAAAAGTTTGCCATGATATACCGCCATTCCCGCGACTCTTCCAATAAACTTAAAGTAGTTCAAATGATCTTCGTTACAAAGACCAGAGTTGGGATTGATTTGAAGCGTGTAGTTGTCACTGGAAAAGAACGAAAATCAACATGTCAAATTGAGGCATCGCGTTAAGGTGGCAAGTGTAAAATCTGTCTATTTATCTTAAATTGAACTTTTGGAAGATTTGGAAGTGGTCGCTAGGAGAGTTTTTGTATTGGRCTTCAACGGAGTTGTAGAAATGCGCTACACGGAGCTGTTTTGAGGGACAGAAAGGAAATAAACTGGAAAATTTATAGCACATTTAAGGTTTCCTATCACTTTTCGCGTTCAGCAAACGAAAACGACACCATGTAAATATCTTAAAAAAGCATTCCCTAAAACAGCCCCATTATGCAACGCGTTCTGCAAACCAGATAATAAGCTAATACAGTAAGTGATCATTGTGTAGGTGGTTTACCTTGCTGAATATTCAAATAGTCCATAATAAGGGTTAAAGACTTCTTTAGACAGCAAATAAAACCACTCTCTGCAAAAAAGGAAAGCAAAAATTAAAGAAGACATAAGGAAAATCCAGATTTCACTCATTCAGAATGCAGTTTTTGTCAGTCCGTAAACGTATCCTAGGTTGCTATCAGTGGACGTCATTTCCGGTCTCTCTGGAATCTTTAGCAGCCGATTGGCAAGTTTTCAATATATTACTCTCTGGTACACCTTATCTCTCTCTACTTCTACTGATCTGTCGACCTTTATCCAACTCACCATTCAAACAAACAAAACAAATGACTGTTAAACTGCCAACAATTGTCTGACAAAGGACGGGCTGTCGGCCTACAGGCCAATGGGTGGTGCTATTCTACACTCTTAGCCTATTGATACCAAGCAATATCCTTCCCACATACGTGTTTAAAGGGCCGTACGACTTACCTCTGTACCCCTCCATAGTCCAGCCCTGTCTCACCATCAAACACAACCCACAGCCTACTCTTCAATATATCAGCATTACGAATACTTAGAAAGACGGCACGGAATGAATCCTCCAAGAGATTGTTGCGTCTGATGTGGATTTCATACTTGTTGGGAACATTACTCTGTTAAATAACAATTAAAAACAAGTCAGTTGTCTTACACAGCTAACTGATGTTCAAATGATAAAGTACCAAGACAATAAAATAATATTGGTATATTGGAAGCTCAAGGTACACACTCCCTCCCCACCCCTCCCCGCTCTATCAGTGCGCCATTTTAAGGCATTTACAGATGTACAGTAAATAAAATAAAACTAAATCAATTTTGTTTATAGACAATGACACTTGATAGTGATGCAACCTATCTTAACAGCTCTAGTTGATTAGAACCACCATTAAGGTAATCATCTAATCCATGTTAAGGTCTAACCATTTGCAGATCTAATTACAAATTCCTCAGTTATTTTAAGATCATGAGTGTTGGTCCAGCAAAGGCCAGGCTTAGAGCAGGACCTCTCTCTAGTTTTGCTGGCAGCACATCTAATTTACTACACTTGCTTCATCAAAGATAGAAGTATTACTTACAGGTCTCTTGAGTTTGGATCTAAAATAGTCACATTTCCTCTTGAAGTCCCTGGAGTATGGTATGACCTGTTCAACAGAAATAACTGTATTTATTATCCATAAATGTCATCATCCATGATGGGTGTGGGCAAAGGTATAGTAAACACACCTCACCAAAGATGGATTCTCAAACTTGGTAGTGTATATTATTAGTTGCTATTTTGGTTCTCTCATGCTCAAAAGATTTGGTGTGAGCTGCTAGTGTATACCCTCTCACCAATGCGACCCTGGTTCGATTCCCAGCCAGTGTCATATGTGAGTAAAGTTAGATTGGGAATACCATAAGCAAAAATGCTAACCCATCCCATAACTCTAAGTATACATTGCGACAGATTATGTAACACTGTTTGTCTTACCTGAGTTTTGGATTTTTTGATTTGCTGTCTTGGGTCTTCCCACTGTGTTGATCTTGTTGCTAAAAATAATCATGCCTTGTAAGTACAAGTTATGACTATCAAAAGTGGTGTGCTTTAAGATCAGATTTCAATTAATTGACTGTGAAAACCCCTAGGTACAGGTGTGCCATGCAGTGATCATGATCGTGCAATGCCTGAGCATTCTGATTTGATGAGCAGAGATTTTGTGAACTGTGATTAGTTAAAAGGATGTCTTTTGTACAGTATTCTGTACCATGATACTATGCCATATCATAGTTAATTGAAATCTACTCTATGTACGACAAAAACCACTAAAGGTGTAAGGCCTTGTGCTCAATGCTTACTATGGTCAATGTAGAAGACTCTTCCATCAGAATGAAGCCTTTCTTCCCATCCATCCTAACAAGAAAAAAATAGTTTTTTTATAATTGTACTTGAAGACTTTAAATATGTCTTCTTTTTTATTTTTTATTTTAATATACTGTAATTTGAAAAGAATAAATTTGACGTCAAATGCAGAATATAAGGCATTATTGGATTTATCAAAAGGGTCTAAAGTATAACACACTTTGAAATGACTTTATTTGTCTAATACTTACTGGGAGTGGCCCTAGGTCTTGATTGGACAGTCCAGAACTTGGTGGGGACGAGCTGAGGGGTGCTGAAGGACTTGCTCCTGAAGAAAGTCGTGGGTCATGCTGACAGTAGATAAAAAAACAGACAGTCCTGTAATTAGATACACTATGTTACATTTATTGGTTGATCAGGATTTGCTGGCAATACTAACCCAGGATGTAGTTTGGGTGTTGTGATCGATGAAAAACATTCTGCCATTTGGAGCTCTCTGCATTGCCCATCCAGGTGGTAAGGGTTCAAGTAATGGATTTGAAACATTCTGCTGCAAGGGACAAGAACACAGCTGAAATACATACCATGTTAACAGCCACTACTGTCTAGCATACACACCTAAATACAGTACTGTCAGTAACTAGTATTATAAAGCTTAGATAGTACATGTACATGCATGCTCTGATTGGTAGAGAACTGTGCTGTATTGCTGAAATGGATAGAGCATAGTTGCTAATGCCAACCAGGTGCACAGCCAACTTGCACTTCATACTTTATTACAGATCAAAGCATAGAAAAAGCTGTTTAACTTGTTGATTACTAACTTGATCACTGGTATCATTGGCATCATTAGTTTCTGTATCTGTCTCTTCTGAGACAGTAGGCTGAGTTGTAAAACCAGTCTGTAAGTAAAGTACAATCAAAATATCAAAAGCAGGACTGACCCTATCTATAACATCCCTGAATGACACGCTAACTTTAACTTCCTACACTCACGCCCTAAGGGTCGTCACACAACTCTGTCATGAAGCATTGTATGATGACTAATAAAGATAACAGTTGATTGGGTCCTGAACAGATGACCTTAGAGTTGCCACACAACTCTGAAGCACTGCATGACATCCCTAAGGATGTCTGTGTAATGTGTGTTTAAGCTAACCTGTGATGTTGGTTCTGGTGAGTCAGCAGGGTCAACTTCTTCCACACTAAGGTGCCGCCGGATCCTAAACTGCCTTGCTCTACCATTTTCAGCTTGTTGTAGTGCTTGCTGATGGCTTGCTTCACTGTTAAGACAGACAGGAACAAATTGTAAGCATGCATGATTATAAAGAAGGATAATGTTTCTGAAGTTAAGCATTAAGAAAATATTTTTACCAACTAAAGGAAAATCAAACTTCAATTTCATTCAACCCTGAAAGAAAGTCAGGGCAACTCACAGATGGAACCTTGAAACAGCCTATGGGCTGATCAAAGTAAGGGCACGGCTAATTCACAGACAGAACCCTGAAACAACCTCTGGGCTGATCAAAGTAAGGGCATGGCTAACTCACAGACAGAACCATGAAACAACCTCTGGGCTGATCAAAGTCAGGGCATGGCTAACTCACAGACAGAACCCTGAAACAACCTCTGGGCTGATCAAAGTCAGGGCATGGCTAACTTACAGGATGAACCCTGAAACAACCTGGGGTGGGCTGATCTAAGTCAGGGCATGGCTAACTCACAGACAGAACCCTGAAACAACCTCTGGGCTGATCAAAGTCAGGGCATGGCTAACTCACAGATAGAACCCTGAAACAACCTCTGGGCTGATCTAAGTCAGGGCAT